GCTATTGGAGCTGGTATTTGTGGTGACTCGCTGAAGAGATCCTCGTGCTATGAGCTGGCTTGACGTTGGAACCTGAAGTGATGAACGGGTGGAACGAGGTGTGGTGGTGACGGCTGGCTTGTTGATAGGAAGAGTCGTAGATGGTGCTGATGTAGGTACTTGGAGTCTTGTAGCTGTAGGTTGCTGCTACATCGGATGATGGTGAGCTTCTGTAGTTGCCTCTGGAGTGACGGCTGGTGATGGGTCTGATGGTGTAGTGGTGGGCTGATCCGGTTGACGTTGAACTTGCGGGGTTAGTGTTGAAGTAGCTGGCTGGTTGGTGACGGTTGGCTGCTGCTCCTTTGGCGGTGATGGAACGGTGACTTCCTGGGGTGGATGGTCTTCATTTGATGGCTGGACCACATCTCCACTTGGTTGAGTAGCTGCTGGTGGCACTGGTGTGGCGCGGCTGGTCTCGTTGACAACGGCTTGCGGGAGATTGATGATGGGTCCGCTATGGTCAGAATCGATGTCATCTTCTTCCTCCTCTTGTATTGTTTCCTCAGGTGCGCTTGCTGGTTCCTGTTGGATAGAGGGTAGAGAGGAGGAAGAGGAAAACTTATGCCAACCTGCAAGGGACATGTCTTCATAGAAGACAACATCCCTTGAAACCACTTCTCGCTTGGTGACAGGATCCCAAAGGACCCATCCCTTGCTCTCATTGCTCATGCCGATGAAGAGGCCCCAATGAGCTTTGCTGTCCAGGTGGCGTCTCTTTGCATCTGGAACACGGTATTGGGCCATGGAACCAAAAACACGAAGCATAGACAGATCTGGTTTAACTCCAAACCAAGCCTCATATGGCGTTATACCTTCCGGTAGGGGCCTTGTGGGTCTCCTGTTGCGAACATAAATTGCCATAGTGATTGCCTCACCCCACCAGAGCTTGTCAAGGCCTTTAAACCGAAGAAAAGTGGTAGCTATAGCTTGAATAGTGCTATGAAACCTCTCTGCCACTCCGTTTTGCTGTGGGCTATAGGGACAAGTAAACTGTTGTTTGATGCCCAATGCCAACAACTCCCCCTGAAACGCTTTCCCCATGTACTCACCTCCTCGGTCCGACCTCAAGGTGAGTAACTTCTTCCCTGACTCTCTCTCAACAAGTGCTAGCCATTGCTTGAAACACTTGTGAACTTCATCCTTGGTGTTGATGAAAAAGGACCACGAGAAACGACTCTTGTCATCAATGAAAGGCACCAAATATCTCTTACCGTTTCGAGTAGGGTCTCGCATGGGGCCGAAGACATCAGTGTGGACCAACTCTAGGAGGTCCCTTGACTGAGACTTAGAAGGGAAGAATGGCTTTCTAGCTAGCTTACCTTCCACACAAGATGGACATGGAACGGAAGAAAGGGACTTGACTGCACTTTCACTCAAACTCAATCCTTCCACGCTCTTGTGTTTTACCAACTCTTTCAATGCTTGCACTCCCACGTGCCCCAAGCGTGCATGCCATACCTCAGCTTGGGAGATACTCCCTTTGTTGTTGACTTGATCGGTTGAAACAGCGGGAAGCGAGACAACGTCGTTCTTCGTGTTGCTAGCACTGCGCTTAATCTCCAACTTCATCTTGTAGAGCCGCCCGGTACGCTCGCCTTCAGCCACCAGATTTCCTGCACTATCCCACACTTTGGCTTTCCCCCCTTGCAGGAGAACAGAGGCACCTTTCTCTTCGAGTTGTCCGGCTGAGAGCAAGTTTGCTCCCAAATCAGGAACAAACAAAGCTTTATTGACACAAAATGACTTACCATCCTTTGAACAAAGCTTTATCGAACAAAGCTTGCCGACTCCTTTGATAGGTACTTTGCCAAGATCAGCAAGAGTCACAGCTTTTGAGTCATATGAGGGCTGAAAATCCTTGAGAATGGACTGATAGGGAGTCATGGTTTCAGAGCAGCCACTATCAAGAATAAAATCCTCACTACTAGTAGAGAAAACGTGCATGCAAGTAGCAGCGTTAAAAAGGACAGGACCATCGAACTCTTTGGACTCATCTTGACTTGTAGAATGACTTGCTATATTTGCTATGGCTGCCTTACCTTTTTCAGATAGTAGCTGAGGTGGGGGGACCCAATTAGGAGGCTTCTTAGGACAAGCATACCACGGGTGACCCCACTCATGACAACAAAAACACTCAAAATTAAACTTTTTAGCATTCGGGGCTTGGCTGAAATTATTGACTCTTGGCGTATTGACTCTTGCATTCCTAGGCTGGTATTGATTGGGAATCGAAGGCCTTGGCTGGACATAGGGACTGGACTTATAGGGAGGACTTGACTGAGGAAAACGAGAGGGTTTGTATGGGTTGGGAGGTGACTGAAATTTCGTACCGTAGTAGGGTTGAGGGCGGTTTGGGGTGAAATTTTCTTGCCTCTGGAATTGGTTGCCATATCTTGTAGCTGCTGCAGCACTCCACGCACCTTCGTCACTCCGCTTGTTTCGTGCAAGGTCTCGACTTTGCTGCTCGTTGACAAGGGCTTCGAATATGAACGCACGACTCTTCATTGACTGTGGGAGCGCTTGTAGTGTTGCACGGAAAGTGTCCCACTCCGGTGTAAGGCCGGTGAGGATGACGATCTTGAAAAGAGACTCTGGAATCTCCAAGCCGATCGCTGCTGCTTCCTCCAGCATTGTTTCAGCTCGTTGTAGGTAGGCTTGTGCTGATTCATCTTCTTCCATCTTCAGATTCATGAAGCGGCTCCACATCTCGGCTTGGCTGCTCTCGGATTTTGACTGGTGCATAGACTTCAGTCGGCTCCATGCTTCCTCTGCACTGTTTGCCTTGGTAGAACAGGGCAGGAGCGACTTCAACTGCTGCTCGTGAATGCTATTGAGTAGGTAGAGGAAGGCCTCATTGTTGCGTCGTTCGTAAAGTCGTTTTTCAGCTCCTGAAGCATCTGCTGCTTGTTTGGCTGCTTCTCCAGTATAGTAAGGCCACAGATCCAGAAGGGATGCAGTGAGCTCAAACTGAGTTGCCCATGTTGGAAAATCTTTGCCGTTGAACTTGGGAAGGTGAAGCTTAGGCATGAAGGAGGTGAGTGGTGAGTATGCTGTTGAAGAACCTCCTGGTGCAACTGCTTCCAATAAACCTGTAGCTGCTGAGGTTGACTCTGAAGCTCCTCCGGCTGACTGAAGTGCAGTGCCAGACGGATTGTCTCCCGCCATGCTCGTATTATGCCAGGATAGAAACGTGGTGGACTCGGTTGATCGAAACGACGAGCTCTGATACCAACTTGTAAAACAGAGTAGCTGTGAATACTGGATGGCTGGAAACTTGGCTGGAAAGTCTTAGCAGGGCTACTGGAATTGACTGGATGAGGTAAAACTTCACTATGTTCAAGATTAACAAGCCCACTAAAGCACAACTCTATAGGCATCACAAACAAGACAGATTGAAAGCTCAAACTAGGCTGATAGACAATGTAACTTCCCTGGTAACTTGGGCACAATCTAGATTGGATGGACCTTGAGTGACTTTGAGTGCCACATGAGGTGCATGAATAAGAAAACTCTGGATATTTCTGTTATAGCTGATTCTGATGTGTAGAAACCTGTAGAAACTGCCAACACTTCGGTTTGAAGGCAGCTTTGAACTGTATCGAGTCTTCGGCTGAAATCTGATTGGTGGCGGAACTTTCGAAGTACTTCCCGAAGCCTCTGATTCATCGCCGACATTCCCCCTTGCTGCTGCTTGTGTGCAAAGGGCTGGGGCGGCAGAAACTCGATTCTCCAACACCAGCGACCCGTCGCCTGCGACGTCGCAGCACCTGCTCCCCACCTGCGAAATCTGCAGCGACGTCGTCGGCGCGTCGTCGCCGGTGGACGATGACGGGCGACGGCGGCCGTTCGTCGCATGTTCTCGCTGCGGCCTCTCCTTCCCCATCTGTCGGGCCTGCGTCGCGTACGAGCGCAAGCACGGTGCGAACGCGTGCCTCAACTGTAATCTTCCGTACGACTGTAACGAAGGGAGTGATTGTAACGAAGCGAGTGACTGCAACTCATCGTTTCTCGACGCGGAAACGCGTCGCGGCGGCGCTGCTGCAACTGCTGGAGCTGCTCCTCCCGCGGAGCAGCAGGGGACGGACGGGTGGGAACTTCATGGTCTGGAGAGTGAGGGATCCTGGGCCGGCAGCAGTAAGGCCGGCAGCAGTGGTGCTGGGCGGGAGCGCGCGTCCGACGGTGATGCTCACTCCGCGACCGCGGAGAGGGCGGAGCGGGCGGAAGGCGCGGGGCGGGCGGAAAGGGCGGAGCGGGCGGAGAAGGCGGAGAGGGATGCGACAGCAGCTGCTGCTGCTGCTGCTGTTCCCGCCACGGGGGCCGGTGCATCAGTGGCTATGGATTCCCTTCAGGGAGAGAGGCAGGGAGAGGCGGCGCGTTTCCACTGGCAGCTTCAGCAGCAGGAGGAGAAGCAGCAGCAGCAGTCGTGGGGTTATGCCTGGAAACAACAACACCTGCCCGCACACCTGCCCGGACATCTGCCCGCTCGCCTGCCCGCCTCCGCCTCTGTTCCTCGGATTGCGCATCTTCCGCCTACTATGCCTTGCCCTCCGCCGAATGTGGCTGCAGCAGCGGTTGCAGCAGAATTGCAGCAGCCACAGCAGCAGCGGAAAAGGCAACAGCAGCATAACCAGCAGCAGCAGCAGCAGTATAAACATCAGAAGCAGCAACCACCAACCTTTCATTTACAACATCACGAGAATCGTCCCGTAACCATCCCCATCCCTCGCATCGCTTCCCTTTCTTCCATTCCTCCCATTCCTCCTATCCCTCCCTATAACCCTGCCACGCCTACCAAACAACCCACTCAATCCTCCACCACCACCTCTTCCTCCTCGTCCTCTGCTTCGACCTTTCCTTACCCGCACGCCCGCAACTTATCCCCCTCCGCCTCCCCCTCAGTCCCCCCCTCCCCGTGGGCGGCAAACCACTCCCCCTGCACTCCTCTTCCGCCTTCCCCTTACATGCTCCGCGGATTATCCTCCCCCTCCTCCCCCTACACCCCCCCCTACCCCCCTCTGGTGCATCTCCCCTCTCCTGCTCTTCCTAATACCACTATGCATCACACCACACCCAATCCTTCTGCTGCTTCTCCCCACTATTTCCCCACCCACGCTCCCAATGCTATTGCACCTGCTGCCACCGTTCCTCCCCCTTTCAACCTGGCCGAAAATGCAGTAATGTCACCAGCAGCATCAGCAGCAGCGCGTGGGACGGTACCCGCCCCTCTAGGCAACCTCTTAAAGCCTCTGACGCGGGAGCAGCAGTGGCTGCTGTGGCAGAAGGAGCAGGAGAGGCGGGTGAGAGAAGGAGCAGGAGGAGTGAGGGCTTTAGACCCTGAGAAGAACCAAGCAGTGTATGGGTATGGAAGTGTTGTGTGGAAAGGAAAGGGAGGGAGAAGCAGCGGAGGGAAGGCTGGAGAATGTGCTGCTGCTGCTCCTGGTGGTGCTGCTGCTGCTCCTGGTGGTGCTGCTGCTGTTGCTGCTGATGGTACCGCTGCTGTGCCTCCTCCCATGCCTCTGCCTCTCCCACCTCTCCCAACAGTCCCATCCATAGCTCCCGTGTCTGACTCGCCTCCCACCCATCTCGCCCTGTTACCCACCAACGCTGGGTCTAACAAGCTCGTCACTGTTAACGAGCCATGCTATAACGGGTACAGGGGAGGTCACACTGGGAAGTGTGAGCAGAGGCAGGAACCGGAGGAGGGGGAAGAGGAGGAGGGAGGAGACGGTGTCCCTATGGCTGATGAATCCCGGCAGCCACTTTCCCAGAAGCTTCGCCTCCCAGCATCTCTCGTGAACCCGTACCGACTCGTTATAGTCCTCCGCCTTCTAGTCACAATCCTGTTTCTGCGCTGGCGAATCCTCAACCCCAACACCAAATCCATCCCCCTTTGGGCTACCTCAGTAGCGTGCGAAATCTGGTTCATCCTATCCTGGATTTTCGACCAGTTTCCCAAGTGGACTCCGGTCAAGCGAAGAACCTTTCCGGGCAGGCTGTCGGTCAGGTTCGAAAATTCCTCTTCTGGGGTGTCCGGACTCGCACCAGTGGACGTCTTTGTCTCTTCTGGGGACCCTAGATCGGATCCTCCTCTTACCACAGCCAACACCCTCCTTTCTATACTCGCTATGGACTACCCCACTGACCGCGTATCGTGCTATCTCGCCGACGAGGGCGCTTCTCTGCTGACCTTCCAAATGGTGGGTCTAGTTGCGGAATTCGCCCGTCTCTGGGTGCCCTTCTGCAAGAAATACAGCATAGAGCCGAGAGCACCTGACGTGTACTTCAAGCAAAAGGCATTCCCGGGAGGAGGAGGAGCGGGAGGAAGGGGAGGAGGAAAAGGAGGAGCGACAGGGGGAGGGGCTGGCGCGTATGTTGGTGTTGCTGGTGCTGCTGATGCCTATGCTGGCGGTGCTGCTGTTAACGGTGGTGGCTTCAGCAACTGTGTATCCTCTGATGACTCAACAGCAGCAAGCTCTAGTGCGGACATTCCCAGTGGTGGGTGGGGCAGCAGAAGAACTAGCAGCAGCGGAGGGAGCTACCTTGCATCCCAGACCCACCCGTCCTTCCTCACGGATCGCCGCACGGTGAAGTCCGCATGGGAGCAGACCAAGATCCGGCTGAACAAGATGAATTCAAGGTGGGAGGAGGGGCTGGAGAGGGGCGAGTGGAGCATGGATGATGGGGTGCCGTGGCCGGGGAGTAGAGCTCATGACCACCCAGCCATGGTGCAGGTTTTTCTGGGATCGGGTGGTGGGGGGGGTGGTGGGGGTGCTGCTGCTGCAGTTACTGTGGGTGAAGCTGAAAAGGGGACAGAAAGGAGCACCGAGAAGGGAACTGGGGCGGCAGGGAACGGAACTGGAAACGGAAAAGAGAAGGCGGCAGAGAAGGCAGCAGAAGAGGCAGCACAGAAGGGCGAAAACACAGCGACAGAAGCAAAGGAACCTGCCAGGGGGGCAGCAGCAGCAGCAGCAGCAGCAGAGGGGTCCATAGACCTGCCTCGCCTGGTATACGTAGCACGGGAGAAGCGGCCGGGTTACAACGAGCACGGCACAGCAGGGGCACTTAACGCTCTGCTGCGCGTCTCTGCTCTGCTCTCCAACGCACCCTTCCTCCTCACCTTAGACGCCAATCACTACGTCAATAACGCAACTGCTCTTAGAGAGGCCATGTGCTTTCTGATGGATGGGAGTGGAGCCGCGGGTGGTGGAAAAGCGGATGGGTTGATGGGGGATGGGGCAGGGGCAGGTGGGAATAAGTGCTGCTTCGTGCAGTTTCCTCTGCGGTTTGATGGCGTGGATGAGAGCGATCGATACGAAAACCACAACACTGTGTTCTACGATGTGAGTTTCTATTCCTGCTCTTGAGAGTTGTCAGCGGCTGTTCCTCTCTGATTTGCCTCTCTGATCCACACCTCAAAGTTCGACGGTGTGGATGAGAGCGACCGATCATATGAGCGACCGATCGTATGAGCGACCGATCGTATGAGCGACCGATCGTATGAGTGACCGATCGTATGAGTGACCGATCGTATGAGCGACCGATCGTATGAGTGACCGATCGTATGAGCGACCGATACGACAACCACAACACTGGTGTTTATGATGCAAATATTCCTGCTCTTCCCCATTCTTCCAGTTTCTCGCTTTCGTGCCCTCTTTCTTCTCCCCCCTCCCCCTGTTCCAACTCCTCCTCCCTCCTGCTCACCCCTCACACTCGCTCACATTGCATGTTGTTGCTGCTGCTCATTCGTCCTTTCTTTTCCCTCCCTTCCCCCTGCCCTGCCTCCCATCCCTTGCCTTTTTCAGCTGCAAATGCCTTCTCTGGACGGCATTCAAGGACCCATGCTCATGGGATCAGGCTGCTGTTTCCGCAGACAGGCACTCTATGGGGGTAAACCCCCTGGGGCTCAGGATTGCAGCAGATCTACCCGCTGCAGCAGCAGCAGCAGGAGAAGCAGGAGTGGCAGCAGCAGCAGCAGCAAGGGTAGGAGCAGGAGCAAGGGCAGGAGCGGGAGTGGCAGTAGCAGCAGAAGCGGAATACAGAGCAGTACCATCACCGGCAGTGCCCAGAGCAGCGGCATTGCCACTAAGACTAGCACTAGCAGCAGCGTCGCTGTCACCGCCAACGCAAGCAGCACAAGCAGAACCAGCAGCACCAGCAGCACCAGCAGCACAAGCAGAACCAGCACACCTATCCTTGGCCTTTCCTGGTTCTGCTGGGGACGGAGGAGAGCCGAGCAGGAGAAACCGGGCAAGGGAGAGGCAGGGGTAAGCACAGCAGCAGCAGGAGCAGAATCAGGTGGTAGCAGTAGCAGTAGCAGTGGTGGTGGTGGTGGGGAGGTGGTGGTGGATATTGATAGGGACGCCCGTTTGGATACAATGCGCAGGCGAGGCGGAGGAACCGCTAATACTACTGCTCATGCTGCTGCTGCTGCTGCTGCTGCTGCTGCTGCTGCTGCTGCTGCTCCTTCTTCCCCTGCTGCTGCTACCTCTGCTGCAGATGGTAGCGCTACCACCCACTCCCTGGTGCCCTTCTCACACTACCATCTCACTGCCATGCATGGCAAAGCCGGCCCACACGCCACCGCAGCTACAGCAGCTGCTACAGCCGGTAGAGTGTATGAGGAGGATACAGAGGACGCGGAGGGTACTCCTCTGATGGAGATGAAGCGGTACGAGCGAAGGTTCGGCAAGTCCCCTCTGCTCATCCTCTCCTCGTTCCACGACGCCCGCTTCACACCCCCAGCGAGAACAGCGCTGCCAGTGGCACAACGAGCAGCAGTGGGAGTAGCAGGAGCAGCAGGAAGAGGAGCGGGGGGGTCAGGAGCAGCAGCAGCGGCCACACAACTCTCCTCGTCAGTCACATGGAGCAGCACTGCACTCGTCTCACAAGGAACACTCCTCGAAGAGACCATCCGGGCGCTCTCTTGTGGGTATGAGGACCACACTGACTGGGGCAGGCACGTAGGGTGGCTCTATACCAACCCACTCGCGCACCCGCTCGTCACCGGCCTTACCCTGCACTCCCGAGGCTGGCGGTCCGTCTACTGCTGCCCTCCCCGCGCTGCTTTCATCGCCTCCTCCTCTTCCTCCCTTTCCTTGCCCCCGTCCACATCCACCTCCTCCACCTCCTCCACCTCCTCCTCCTCCGCCTCCTCTCCCTCGTCTTCAGCACACCTGAACCTCTCAGACCGTCTACACCAGGTCCTTCTCTCATCTATCGGCGCGACCGAACTCGCTCTCTCCTCCCGCTCCCCCGTCTGGTTCGGCCTCCGTCACGGCCGCTTAAAGCCCCTGCAAAGAATCGCCTACATCAACACCGTCCTCTCTCCCTTCACCTCGGTCCCTCTCCTGGTCTACTGCCTTCTCCCGGGCCTCTGCCTCCTCTCAAACTCTTTCATTCTCCCTAAGATCACCACTGTTGCAGTGCTGTATCTGCTAGCTCTTCTCGCGGTGGTGATGGGGACTAGTGTTCTGGAAGTGCAGTGGAGTGGGGTTACCCTGACGGATCTGTGGAGGGCGGAGCAGTTTTGGGTGGTTAGCGGTGTGTCTGCGCACCTCTTTGCCGTTGTGCAAGGGGCTCTGAAGGTGGTTGTTGGGATCGACACCAGCGTCGCGGTGAAAGAGAATCCAAAATCTGCGACTGCTGCTGATTCTGCTGGCGCTGGTGCTGGTGATGATAAGGACGGGGAGCATTCTGATTTGTACACCTTCAAGTGGACTGCTCTCCTCCTCCCGCCTGCGTTGGTGGTGGGTTTCAATGCAGCTGGGATCATTGTGGGCATTGCCCAGGGTCTCAATGGAGGATTAAGTGCGTGGGGAATGATGCTCATAAGGGTGGCCTTCGCCCTGTGGGTGATCATGCATCTACACCCTTTAATTAAGGGTTTCTTTGGTAAGGAGAGGAGGTTGCCTCCTCTTGTTCTGATATGGGGCGTCCTGCTATCGTCGGCGCTGACGCTGCTGTGGGTGAACATAGATCCGTTTGGGTATCACTTCAAAGGGCCTGACCCTGTTCTCTGTGGCATTCGTTGCTAGAGCTCTTTTATGCCTTCGGTTGTAGGTAGATAGATGATGCTTCTTCGATTGAATAACCCTCAATTGAATAACCTTTCTTCATTATGTGGTTGTGATAAAAAAATGTATTTTTATCTGATAGTACAAAAAATGCCGTGACGTGAAGCATGTAGACCTGCTGGGTTGCTAAAGCCACATGCTTTCTGTGTTTCTGGTTCGTCTGTCGCATAAGGATGCATGCTCTTCTACAAGTGTTAATCACGGAAAACGATGCAGATTATAAGTAGGACTTCCCGCCCTCGCCCCTCCAGAAACAAGGTCTGAGCGTGTGGCTGAAGCCATGGGTAGACAATGGCCAGTTGCGGACTGGCATGGAAGTCGTCAGCGTTACCTTCACGCAAAGGCCGGCCTAGATTGGTGGTTTGGGAAGTCAGTCAAGGCTTTCATGCTTCTGCGTTACTATTGGTGGAAACAATCTAGTGCTTGAGGCGACAAGCGTCAAGTGTACGCGAGCGACGTCAGTCTTCCTGCGCGCCAAGCCACTCCCTCTCGTTCGCCAACTTTTGCCCTTCCCACACCAATCGCACTATCGCACGGTCGCACACCATTCCGTCCAGCCCTCATGAGTTCGTTCCGGACGGAAGCCCAACAGCAGCTCGACGGAATCCGTCTCTTAGTTCAAATGTGTAAATCCAGCTCCAAATTCCAGCAGGTTCAATTCCAAATTCCAATCCATTTTTAGTTCCTCCAACTAAATCCCTTTGTGCCTGCGATTCCGGTTTCTGGTTCCAGTCTAGTTCCAGTCTAGCGGTCAATCATAATTCCAATCCCAAGGTTTCTCGCCGCCCGCCACCGCAAACCCGAGTAGCAGCGCATTGCGTGGCGTCGCGTGATTAGAGCCGCGGCCTGTGACCCTAGCGAGGCTTATCCACTAAATTTCACCTTCACGTCTCACGCCACTGCAAGGCTCAGAGATGGCGGAGCACCTCGCAAATCCTTTGCCCGCATCTCACGCGGCAGCGATCAACCCCCGCAACCGGTTGAACTTTATGAAAGCCGCGCGTGGTCTATCCTCCGACTTAACGAGCCTTCACGAAGCGTTTCGCGATTTTCAGGAGGACCATCGCCGGAACGTCGCATCCGCGGAGCCGTCGAAGCTCCGCGCGTGGGAGGTTGCCGCTGCGAAAACGCTTGCGAGGAATCATAAGTTGCTTCGCGGTTTCAGGCGACGCATGGTTGAGCTGATGTCTGATAACCAAGTCAAGGTTTCAGTTTCCGGGGGCGAGGCTATGGAAAGGTGGCGTTCTCAGCAGCAACAGAACCGGCAGGAGCAGCAGAATCGTCAGCAGCAACAACGACAGCGACAGCGGCAGCAGCAGCAGCGGAACCATCAACTTAATGGGCAACACTCGCTTGAGTCTGACCGTCAGTCCCAGTCTCTTCCTGCTCACTCGCTCCCACCCCATTCTCTCCCAGACGCTATGATTGCTGAAGGGATGGACGCCGGTGGAGTTTTGCAAAACGAACATGGGCCTGAAATTAGGACTAGCACAAGTGGTGGCATCAATGGGAATTTTTCTTCTGAAATAATGAGCGGCTCTGACGTCACCGATGGTGCAGCCGCTGTTGCAGGTGCTGCTGGTGCTGGTGCTGGTGGTGGCGCTGGCGGCGCTGGTGGCGCTGGTGCTGCTGCTGTTGCTGCTGCTGCTGCTGCTGGTTGCAGTGGTACGGGCAGTGGGGGTACTGGAATCACAGACCCCTTGGAGATAATCGCATTGTGCCTGCAAGCGCGGTTGAGTGACACGTGGAGGCTGCTAGACAGTGTAGACGCTGAGATCACGGGGAAATACCAAGGCAGGCGGACCAATGAGAAGGACGCCAGGAGCAGGGCGGCACTGGTGAAGGGGTGGGCGTTTAATGACGCTAGGCTGCGGCTGCGAGCCAAACGAATGAAGAAGTAAGTTGCGAGTCAGGAGGATGAAGAAGCAGCACTGATGGAGAAGGGGTGGGCGTTGAGTCATACTAGCAGCGTCCACTGATTTTGTTATCAGTTTTTATGCATCAGGTCCGAGGTGAGGTTTTTATGTATTGTCTAGCTAGAGCCCTCTTGAATCTCCGCATGTGGTGTAAATAGCACGCCTGTAATGCCTTACCTGCAATAAAAGCACACTTACATACACCATAGCACCAAGTATCAAACTCGCTGCTGCCTCCCTGCCTGCCTGCCTTCTTGAAAGACAAGCGAACAAATCACTTGCATAAAGACGTGCACTCTTACGGTAGCTCCTTTGCACTGATATCTCCTCTACAACAGCAAGCATCTCCGTGCAGTGGCCGCGCATGCACACAATGTCCTCTCTCCCAGCGCTTACAGCAGCGCAGGGGCCCTCGCCTCCAATATGAGACGATCTTTTAGGCGCCTCAAAACTCCTCCACAGCAGCAAGCATCTCCTTGCAGTGGTCCCGCACGCACATGATGCTCCTCTCTCCCAGCGCGTACAGTAGCGCGGGGCCCCTCGCGTCCAGTGTGAACCCTACAGACGCCATGATCATCATCGCATCACCCAGCATCGCCAGCAGCAGATCTCTCTTGAAGACTGGCAGCACTGGCAAATGGGATTCGGATGGCTGCTGCTCCTGCTGCTCCTGCTGCTGCTCCTGCTCCTGCTGCTGCTCCTGGTAGCACTTCTCATAACTCTTCAAATACGCCTCAACGACCTCCTCTTCCACCCTGGCGCGCGATGCAGGCTGCAGGGAGGACAGCAGCAGGCGAGCCAGGTCTACAATGCCGGGTGCACCCGCAGCCGTGTCCTGAAAGTCTATCAGAAGAGCCTCGTTCCTCCCCCGGTGGTACAGCACATTCCCAGGGTTCGGGTCCCCGTGAAGAATCCCCCCCAGCCGGCTGGTCGGGGGAAGTGCGGCAGGGGGAACAGGAGCAGGCGGAAGAGTAATTGCACGCATCAGCCCTGCATACCCTACCCGAGCGCTTGCGGCACAGAGCGTGTGCAGCGCACTCCCTGGCTCGGCATCGTCCGGGCAGAACCGGGCGGCGAACTGGAGCATCAGGGCGGCGAGCTTGTCGGCGCTGTGCTCCACGGGGATCATCACCCGGGCGGCGCGTGACTCAATCAGCTCGTCCCACGTCAGCAGCTGCTGATTCACAGTCCCGGACACAGTGCCCTGCACCTCTCCTGCACCTGGAACACCGGAGCCAGCGCCAGCGCCAGTATCAGCAGCAACGGCAGCAGCAGCGGCAGAAGCAGCAGGGCTAGAGTTAGCTGAGTGGAGCACAGCGAGCGCGCGGACAGTCGCCAGCAGCGCATCGCGCTCCACATCCGGTCCTTCCGTTAACTCCATGGACCATGCTGACAGCACCTCATACCCCGCCTCGTTCCCTGATTCCGCAGCTGCCCCGGGCTCACTAACAGGAGCAGTGGTGGCAGTAGGGGTGGCAGTGGGGGGCAACAGCTCACATCGGCGAGTAAGATGGCTTGGTCGGGATTGGCGTGATACGCGCGCGGAACCATCGCGGCCACGTGGCGCGAACGCGGCGCCATGGCGAGAGTGTAGAACGCGGCTTCCACCCGATGCGCCTGCTTCACCATCGCGAGTATCGCGTCGCCTAGCTGGTGCTGCTGCGCCGTCGCCCCTGCTGACGTGTCCGGCGGCGGAAGGAGCTTCATGAAGAGTGACCTGGGCCGATTTGACGAGTCGCCGGGATCCGCGCCGGAGTCCGCGCCAGAGTCCGCGCCGGAGTCCGCGCCGTGAGGTGTGCGCGAAGCATCGGTGTAGGTGACGTCAAGGCGCGCTTTGACGATCGGGGAGAAGTCGCCGGCGAATGGCCGCACGACCACTGACGCGACGGCTGTAGCTGGAAGGCCCAGCGCGGCGCTCAGCCACGTGGGGTCCACGTGGTCTTTGGTTGGCGCAGGGAGGGAGGCGACTTCGGCTGCACCAGTGCACGTGGTTGATGCGGCAGTAGGCGCCGCAACAGGCGCCGCAATAGGCGCCGCCGTAGTCGCCGTAGTGAGTAAAGTCGACGCCATGCGGAGGTTGGCGGTTGGGATGCGGTGCGGTGGAATGGGGTAACGAAACGGCGCCTACGACGGGGCGCCTGAACGAAACGGCGGGATGAGTTCAGGTGGGGTGCGGTGCGGTGGGATAGGTTAACGGCGCGGTGCTTAGACAAACGAAACTTCAGCCAAAAACCACCGCTGTTGACACTCCAGGAAGGAGAGAATTTCCTGAAATGCGTCAAAGCGTTTGTCGGATACAAACGCAATGGACGGGGAAGCAAAGGCTTTGTTCTGTAGGCGGACTTGCCTCCGCACAACATGTACGGGCTATTCTTTCTCAGAAGGTTCTTATCGCACCCAATCAAAATTTGCAGCGTGGATGTTGCTACGAAGCCCCGCACAGCCAACGCATTTCCGAAATTTGCGTGTTGATGCTGCCCCGCATAACTTGTGCGCTGGCTGATGCAAGCCCTCTAGGTTGAATCAGCACCGCACTAGTTGTGCGACCATTTGCCCAGCGATGAAACAACTTCGAACCAGCAGACGGTTAAATTGATGCACCCCAAAAGTGGTGTTCTGCAGGCTGAAGCGTCAAATTTGGCGCAAACAGGTTTGGCAAGACCTCTCTTATCACCAAACCTAGATAAGGTGAAGACCACTTATCAGCGAAGATTCTGCGGACCCTGTTTCTGGAAATTGAACGCCAACAGAACAAGGGCGAAGGTGGCCAACCATAAATCCCCCCGATCGACAAGCCAATTTGCGCCCACCAGATTTCGGTTAGCACTACAATTTACCAAGAATAACGGTAATTTAGGGCAGGAGCGGAAATAATTTACCCCATTGGGAGCGTCCTTCGAATTGGGAAATATACACTCTGAACATGGAATTGATCCCCGAGTTCACGGCATCAAGATATCCATTCCGACGGGTTCTATTGCTCCTGCCCTAAAACACTGTTTCACATCGCTTTGTTTCCGTAAACCCCGAAACCTTGACTCAGTACCCAGCCTGAGTCGCAATTCGTTAATCTATAACGCGTGTAGCCTCTAGGCGCTTTGATAATGCTTAAGTAAAACATTCGGGTTTCCTTTGGGAGATATCTACTGTATATGTTTGGATTTTTTGGGTTAACAACACATTCGGGAAACCCGTCGAAGCAAACCCGTCCCGAATCCCGATTCACCATGCCCTTAGAAGTTAGCCCTTAGAAGTTACAACGATAGTCACTACAGCAGCTAGACAATGCGAGACAACGAGAGAGCAGGGTGGACAAATACGTAACCATGAGACATGACTGTAGTCACTGTACTAGGTGCTTCACACAACAGCACTGGCAGCAGTGGCATCCGTGAGTTTTTCCTTGAGGAACTGTTCAATGTGCTCCATCTTCCAGTTCTCAATCCTGAAAGACGAATCAGGAATGAACGAGACATGTCCGGAAGGGGAAAGAGGAGTATGAGTGAGTGAGGGCATGGAGGAACGGGAGTGGGGGGTAAGGGGGGGGAGGAGAGGGGAGATTGTGGGATTGAAGTGTGGGAAAACCTGGTGGTGACCTTAGAAAAGGCTTAGTAGTCTTTACCCCACATAATGACGTCATCAGCATTGGCATGACTCACCTGATGACATCAGCGTTCTTCCCCTCAGCGTCCTTCATAATGAGCTTGGGGAGAGCGTTGATTCGGTAACGGACCTGGTACAGGCGAGAGTGGGAGATAAAGCAGGGAAAGAGAGAAGAAAGAGAGTGTCCGCGAGAGAAGTGGGGGGGGCAGGGATAAGGAAAGCAAAAAAGGGATGGGGAGAAGGGAAGGACGTGGCAGTAAGGTGGCGGGTGGGATGGGATTGAGAGGAATGTTGAGTGCAAGTTACAACAGGAGGAATGGCGATTGGAGCAGCAGGAAGACGGAAAGGGGCAGTAAAGCCCAGGAGCGAGAGTGGGCAGCAGGATGGGAAGGGGGATACGGCGGAAAACTAGTGTATGTGAGCATGCGTGTGTCTGAGCAAGAGAGGAGAGTAGGAGACGGAAAACCGGTCCGGAGGGAGGGTAGGGGGGACACAAGAGGGTGAAGAAAGGTAGCTGGTTGGGATAGCTAGCCGCCTTGGAATAGATGATCTTTGCAATGACTGGCTTTTGCAATGAATGGAGTAAACAATCACCTGCAGGTTGGGGAAGCTGGGCGCCTTGGAGACTTTTGAGTCGACTCAAAAGTCACCTCGTTTAGACGATCTTTGCAACGACTGGGTTTTGAGTGGAGTAAACAATCACCTGCAGGTTGGGGAAGCTGGGCGCCTTGGCTTCTATGAACTCTGCAACGACTGGCATCCACTGCACGCGCCTCATGCACACCTCCAGCACTGCGGACGCATACTGGCACGCGGGGAAGGGGATGGGTGTGAATCAAGCGGGGAGGGACGGAAGAGGGGACAATTGCTTCCGAGGTGACTAGAATGACAGCTGACAGAGGACACTGCACGCGCCTCATGCACACCTCCAGCACTGCAGACGCGTACTGGCACGCGGGGATGGGGTGGGTGTGAATCATGCGGCGGGAGGGACGGGAGCAAGCGAGAGAGAAAAGTGCTTTCGAGGTGTCTAGATGACGATTGGCACGCGGGGAAGGGGACGGGTGTGAATCATGGCGCGGGGGGAAGTGGTGGGGGGAGGTGGGACGGGAGAGGAGGTTAGGGAGAAGAGCGATTGCTTTAGTGGTGACTAGAGTGACAACTGGTAGGGCATCCGTTGCACACTCGCCTCAAACACGCAGCCATCCAGCACCAACGGTGATACTGGCATGAACGAATATAAATCAAATCAGGAAAATGCAAATGAAGGAGGTGGAATGGAAGGCAAGGGAGTGACACTGGAAAGGAGGGTAATGGAAGGGAAGGGAGTGGAGCAGGAGATGCGGGGGAAGGAAGAAAAGGGACGGGAAGGGAAGGGAAGGGAAAGGAAGGGACCTGCTGGGTGGACGAGTCTTCGTCGGTGACACAGCAGCTGCGACACTCCGCCTCGAGCTCTGCATGCACGCACGGAGGACGGGAGGGACGGAGGATGGGAGGGAAAGGCATGTCGAGTCACGTCGAGGAGAAACGGGTTTCGAGAACTATTGCGGAGGTCTTATAACAGGAATTGGAGTGATCTTAAGGATGCACTTACGTTAGGTAAGGTTAAGCAAGGTACGGAGACGCGTATCGACGGGCGGGAATGGAAGGATTGGGATGAAATGATTGGATGGACGATGCGCGACGGACGCTTGCTCAAGAAATGACGGGATCAGTCCCCGAATTTGAAATCGCGCTCCGTTGAATGTAGCGTTGAGTGTTGCGATCCAAGCAGATAAGTACGAAGATAGTAGAAACGGAGTGAAGGACTCAGATCTTTAGAAGATCGCATACACTGTAGATGATCCCCCCACTCACTGGCGTCTTTTACGAAGGTAGCGAGTTGGTCACAGTCGGAGCAGAGAGCAAGCCCCGTGAATCCCAGCGCTTCGCATTCTTTAGGAGAGAGAGTCGTGGCATGGGAGCAAGAGAGGGACAGCAGTGAGAGAGACGCGAGGAGAATAAGCCGAGCGGGATTCACGCTGTACAGCGCTGCGAGGGCGTTTCGCGTCGCCATCTAGGCGGGTGATGGTAAGCGAGGTGGCTAGCTACTGCTGGCGCAGAGACTAAGTGACCATAACGTTTTAGATGTGTGACAAAATATCCACTCAACTGAAAATACTAGTGCTCTGGGTTGTGGAAACTCACATGCTAGAAGCACACTCGCTAGACGATATGGTACAATCTCTAATCTCTAATCTCCATATCTCATCCATCAATTTACAGTTAAAACCCGTGGGCCAAGAAGTTCAACCTTAGGAAGGTTGGTTGGGGCGAGCAATGTAATTGGCCAAGATTTTCGGTGTCAGGGCCAAACTCAACCGAAGTTAGGAAGGTTGAACCAATTTAGGCCTTCTTGGCCCTCCGGTTTTAAAACCCGAAGCCTGAATTACAAAAAGTGTTTGGAGGTGTTAACACTTTCCCTCCCGAACCAGGGTGGTTACCAGGTGCCCAACTGGTAAACGTGAGAAAGTCGCAGGCAATACAGGGAAGGATCGCTTGGGTCTGTGGTAACGAGTCTCGCCGTAAGTGTGCACACCTATTCCAAAAGATGTAATTCAGGTCGAGAGAAATCGGAGAGTTCCTAGCCTACTATTAGCCTGCAGTACCGCGTAGATCTGGATTTCTCTCTCCAATCGTGATCTTTGCCCGTTGTGACGCACTCGAGCCCGTCCCGTCGCATTAGGGTTTCTCCTCTCCGTAGCCTACGCTCATCCCTCCCGTCGTCGATAAACATATTCCCCTCCGTGGCCCACGCTCACTCCCCTCCCGTCGCCCTCGCTCTTTCCCCTCCATTGTCCACGCTCACTCCCTCGCGTCGTCTTCGCTCATTCCCCTCTGTCGCCCATGCTCACTCCCTCCCGTCGCGTTCGCTCGCTCCCCTTCCGCCGCCCACGCGGACTCCCTCCCGTCGCGTTAGATAGTCGCAATACCGTCGCGACATTGGTGTCGCGTCGGCAGAATGGCCGCGGCTATCACGGCGGCGCGGCTCGCCGCCTCCGCGGCCGTCGCAACCTCGTAACGTCGAATTCTGCTCCGTAACGATCCGTTCAATCAGCAGCCGCGCCATCGTCGCGCACGCTCACTTTCTCCGCAGCGTCCGCCTCTTCCGCCTTACGCCCATCGCTTTCCTCCCTTTCGCTACCTCCGTCTGCACTCCGCACGTCAGCGCACCGCCAATCGGCCTACCGTCCAGATTTTCCTTCACCACTCTTGAACTACCGGCAGCCTTGTATCCGGTCCTCCTCTCCCTCTTCCCCCTCCTCTCATTCCTTACTCTACTCCCTCTCCTCTCCCTGTGGGGAGCGGCAGTGGCAGCTCTCCCCCGTCGCACACGCGCACTCCCCTCCCGTCCCACACCCTCACTCCCCTCCCGTCGCCCACGCTCGCCCACGCATCCTCCTCCCGTCGCCCACGATTTCCCATCCCGTCGCCCACGCATCCCCATCCCGTCGCCCACACATCCCCATCCCGTCGCCCACGCGTCCCCATCCTGTCGCCCACGATTTCCCATCCCGTCGCCCACGCATCCCCATCCCGTCGCCCACGCATCCCCATCCGTCGCCCACGCATCCCCATCCCGTCGCCCACGCGTCCCCATCCCGTCGCCCACGCATCCCCATCCCGTCGCCCACGCATCCCCATCCCGTCGCCCACGCATCCCCATCCCGTCGCCCACGCATCCCCATCCCGTCGCCCACGCATCCCCATCCCGTCGCCCTCTTATGCCGTCCCCTCTTTCCCGTCTCTCCATCCCTCACCTCCCCATCCCTCGTCTCCCCATCTCACCTTCCCATCCCTCACCTTCCCATCCCTCATCTCCCCATCCCTCACCTTCCCATCCCTCATCTCCCCATCCCTCATCTCTCCATCCCTCATCTCCCCATCCCTCACCTTCCTATCCCTCACCTTCCTATCCCTCACCTTCCCATCCCTCACCTTCCCATCCCTCATCTCCCCATCCCTCACCTTCCCATCCCTCATCTCCCCATCCCTCATCTCTCCATCCCTCATCTCCCCATCCCTCACCTTCCTATCCCTCACCTTCCTATCCCTCACCTTCCCATCCCTCACCTTCCCATCCCTCATCTCCCCATCCCTCACCTTCCCATCCCTCATCTCCCCATCCCTCATCTCCCCATCCCTCATCTCCCCATCTCACCTTTCCATCCCTCATCTCCCCATCCCTCACCTTCCCATCCCTCATCTCCCCATCCCTCACCTTCCCATCCCTCATCTCCCCATCCCTCACCTTCCCATCCGTCATCTCCCCATCCCTCATCTCCCCATCCCTCACCTTCCCATCCCTCATCTCCCCATCCCTCACCTTCCCATCCCTCATCTCCCCATCCCTCATCTCCCCATCCCTCACCTTCCCATCCCTCATCTCCCCATCCCTCTCCTTCCCATCCCTCGCCTCCCCATCCCTCATCTCCCCATCCCTCATCTCCCCATCCCTCATCTCCCCATCCCTCATCTCCCCATCCCTCACCTTCCCATCTCTCATCTCCCCATCCCTCATCTCCCCATCCCTCATCTCCCCATCCCTCATCTCCCCATCCCCTTTCGCAAATTGGTTTCGCCAGCTAAAAGTGTCCCCAACCCACCCGAACCTCACATTGTCCCCTTCCCAAACCAAGCGTTGACTCGTTTTTGTAATTCAGGGTTCAGGTTTTAAATCACAGATAGTACCGCATATTACTGGAAGTACAATGAGACGCATTAGGATTCGTGGAAATGTATAACGATTAATGTTCTTGTATGTTACGATTTGGTTTTACGGAAGTTCTATATGTACTGCACTATTCGAAGTGGAGCAGCGAGTACCTCAGTGTTAGATGTTATAGCCTTAGTGATGTGTGTCATATGGGGTACAACAGTTAGGGTTAGGTTTATGTACCCCAACCAACCTTAGTCAAGACATCATTCCGTTCTTGACATGGTATCAGATAGGTTAGGATCCTGTGGGATCCCGTTCCTCCCGTACCGTCTCCTAACGCCTGTCACGCCGGTTCGTCTCGTACCCTAGCGCCCGTTGCGCCCGTATCGTCCCCTAGCGCCTGTCACGCCGGTTCGCCTCGTTCCCTAGCTCTCGTTGCGCCTAGCCTAGCACGCCCGACGCCCGTAGCTAGCGCCCGTAGCGCCCGTAGCGCCCGTAGCGCCCGAAACGCCCGTAACGCCCGTAGCGCCCGAAGCGCCCGTAGCACCCGTCCCGTCGCGTCGCGTCCCGTCGTCCCGTCCCGTCCCGTCGCGTCGCGCTCGTCCCGTCCCGTCGTCCCGTCCCGTCATCCCGTCGCGTCGCGTCTGTCCCGTCCGTCGCGTCGCGTCTGTCCCGTCCCGTCTAGCTCGTCGCGCCCGTCCCGTCTGTCCCGTCGCGTGCGCCGTGCCTGCCCGTCCCGCAGCGCCACGCCGCGCCCGTCCCGTTCTGCCTGCCGCGCAGCGCCGAGCCGCGCGCGTCCCGTTCTGCCTGCCGCGCGGCGCCGAGCCGCGCGCGTCCCGTCCTGCCTGCCGCGCAGCGCCACGTCGCGCCCTACCCTACCGTCCTGCAGTGCCTTGAGCCTCACCCACTGCCTGTCACGCCCTACTTAGGCCCTTTAGGCGTTTTAGGGTTTCGGCAGCAGCAGTTCCCACCTCTTCGCTTCCGCTATGGCGACCCCTAGGGTCCTGCGCTTTGACGCCGAGGGTAGGCCACTCGAGTTCTCGGTCTGGCTCCTGCGTGTGCGCCGCCTCCTAGAGAGTCAGGATCAGGCAGACGAGTCTCTGTGGGCGCACGCTTCCGGTGACCTTCCTGCGCCCCCCGCTCCTGCACCCTTAGGCGCTGACGCTAGCACTGCAGACAGAGACCGTTTTGCACGCCAGCGTGCTGACTTGACAGCGTGGAAGTCGCGTGACGCTGCGGCCTGCATCGCCCTTAGTAGCCTCCTCCCTGAGTCTGAGGAGGCCCACTTCACTCAGGTTCCCACTGCTAGTGAGTTCCTGACTGCGATCAAGGCTCGCTACACTACTCCCACCACTGTCTCTCTTGGTCGACATTTCCTCCCGTTCCTGTTTCCTGACCTCGCCTCGTTTGAGCGCTCTGCTGACTTGATCGCTCACCTGCGCTCGCTTGATTCTAGCTACCACGCTGCCTGCACTGACGCGCAGCTTGCATTGCTCCCTCCCCCTATGGCGATTACTATCTATTTCATCGCCACTAGGGTTTAGGGTCTCCCTGACCGCCTTGCCTCGGTTCGTGACGCGCTTCTTCTGAAGCACCCTAGCGAGCTCACTATCGACGTCCTTGAGTCTGCCCTCAAGGACGTCGAAAGCAACCTCCGCTCGGTAGCCTCCGCCTCTGGTGCTGTGCCCCCTCCACTGTTTCACGGGTGCACTGTCCCTCAGCTTCCCACCTTTACTGCCTCCCTCGCCACTGCCGCTACTGACGTGACCGCAGCTGCTGTTACGACTTCTTCGCGGTCTAGGGGTAGGAGTGGCAGGAGGGGCGGTCAGGGTGCGGGCGGAGGCGGCGGAGGCGGCGGAGGTGGCGTGGCGAGCGGCGGTTGCGGGAGTACAGAGGCTGGAGGAGCGCCTCGTGCAGCGGCTAGTGGCTCCTCTACTCCAGCTGGTGGAGGTGACGCTCGGGTTCGTCAGACACCTGCTGGTCCGCCAGCTGCAGGTGCTGGAGTGGCGGCTTGGTACCTGACTCAGCGGCAGCAGCAGCAGCAGCAGCCCCTCCTCTCGTAGCAGCCACAGCAGCAGCAGAGGCAGCAACAGGCTCCGTGGCAGGGGTCAGGACCGCGTCAGCTGTCGCGTGGTGCCGTCCACCCTCCCTGCACCTATCTTGTTCAGACAGGTGCTTGCCGAGGCCTCCCCTGTGGCCGCACCCACCCACCGGGTCAGTGCTTTGCTCAGCTCACTGACACACTTCGTGCGGCCTACGGCGTTGACGGCCCTGCCCATGAATGGCTTCCCCTTGTTCAGACATACAGCCCCGCTCTGTGGGGTATGTCGGCTTCTCAGTTGCTTGATCTCTTAGGAACTCCTCATGCTATGTATGCTGTTGTTGATTCTAGTGCTTCTGACTCTGTTTACTCGATTGTTGTTAGCTTAGGTGCTAGTGTTGCTGAGGTGCCTGTTGCTAACGTAGGTACTTGTGCAGACACTAGTCCAGGAGCTGCTCTGGAGGACACTTTGCTGTCGTTCACTCTGGACTCCGGAGCTTCGCACTGTTTCTTCCGCGACCACACGACGCTTACTCCGCTTCCTGCGCCGGTCTCTGTAGCACTGGCTGATCCCACTTCGGGACCAGTCACTGCTCGCTACACTACTACGCTTCCGTGCCCAGCAGTTCCCTCAGGTATCCTGACGGGCTTCCACGTCCCCTTGTTCTCTAGGAAGTTGGTGGGTGTGAGGCCGCTCGTGAGTAGTCACGTGGGTGTGTGGATTGAGCCTTCTTGCGAGACTGCGGTTTGTGTCGACGGGGACACGTACGCGCCTCTGGCCACCTTTACCGCTGAGCCGGGCTCTGGTCTCTACACACTTCACACTGGCCCTCGGCAGCAGCAGCAGCTACTGCCCCCGACCACTGTCACTGCCCCCCGTCAGGTCCCCCCGTCTCACCAGGTTGCCGCTTCTCACCAGGTAGCTGTGTCTGGTCAGGTTCCCGTGTCTGGTCCAGTTGCTGCGTCTTGCTCCTGTCGGTCACTTGCCCACCCCACCGTTCAGTGGCACCACCGGATGGGGCACCCGTCCATTCCTCGCCTGCGCGCTATGTCTAGTCAGCGTCTTGTCTTAGGCCTCCCGCGAGTCTTGCCGTCGCTGCCGCCTTCGCTTGCACCACCTTGCGGTCCCTGCGTCGAGGGTCGGCTGCGCGCCACCCCTCACTCCTCCTCCCTTCGTCCGGCCATCGAGCCCTTCGAGACTCTCCACTTGGACCTCGCCCTGGCCCTGAGCGAGAGAGTTTCTTTCTGGTGGTCGTTGACGACTACTCTCGCTACACCACAGTGTTCCCCCTGGCGAAGAAGTCTGAGGTGACTTCTACGCTGATCCGGTGGTTACTTACCACTGCGGACACTCGTTGTCGTCGTGTCAGCTGTCTTCACTCCGACCGTGGGGGTGAGTTTTGCTCCGGCATTATCGCTGGATTCTGTCGCGAGCAGGGCATCCGTCAGTCCTGGACGCTTCCAGAGTCCCCACAGCAGAATGGGGTTGCTGAGCGCCGCATAGGCTTGGTCATGGAGATTGCACGCACCTCCATGATCCACGCAAGTGCGCCCCATTTTCTGTGGCCCTACGCGGTTCGGTACGCCGCTCACCAGCTGAACCTCTGGCCACGTGTCTCTCGGCCAGATGCTTCACCGACCAGTCTTTGGACCGGGTCCCCTGGTGCTGCGTCGCGTTTTCGTGTATGGGGCTGCTTGGCGCTTGTTCGCGACACCTCCGCGGATAAGCTCTCCCCTCGCGCCCTTCCCTGTGTCTTCCTTGGTTTCCCCGTGGACTCCTCTGACTTCACCTTTTACCACCCTCCCCTTCACCGGTTCTTTGACTCCCGCGACATTCGTTTTGTCGAGTCAGTCCCCTACTACACCCGGTACCCCTGTCGAGGTCTCCCGGTTCCTCCTCCCCCTCTCTTCCTGACTCCCGCCCCCCCTCCTGCCCCTCCGGTACAGCCCCCCCCCCCTGGTCCAGCCCCGTCAGGTGTGTCACACGCTACCCCTCCCCCCTCGGTAGCCCCTCAGGTGCCGTCCCCTTCCCCACAGTCCTCCTCACAACCTACTGCAGACCCTGAGGGAGCAGGTGCTCATGTCGAGGACCCTGGGGGTGCTACCCCTGGAGGAGTTGGAGTTGGAGCTGAGAGTGTGCCTCCACGAGGTTCTGGTGCCGGGGGTGCTGGCGTTGGAGCTGAGCCCGAGTCTGCAGGAGGCTCTAGTATTCAGGGAGCTGGTGTTCGTCGCGCTGTCACTGAGGGTGCTACGACTGGGGGTGCGGGTGCGCCCCCTACGGGACCGGGAGAGTCTAGGACTGGCCGTGTTGCTGCTGGTGGTGCTGGCTCTGGGAGTGGTGTGACCGGTTCTTTGGAGGGCGGTCCTGGGGCTACCACCGCTCCGGACACTACTCCTCCCCCCCACCCCTACCCGACCCGGCACCAGGCCCGTGTTCGCCGTGCCCGTGAGGAGCAGCTGGAGTTGGAGCGAGAGGAGAGAGAGTTGGAGCGGCAGCAGTTGGAGCTACAGCGGCTGGAGGAGCAGCAGCAGGAGCAGCGGTTGCAGCCGGAGCAGGAGCAGCGGCCGCAGCGACAGCCGCTGCAGCAGGAGCAGCAGCCGCAGCTGGAGGAGCAGCCGCAGCAGGAGCAGCCGCAGCAGGAGCAGCAGCAGCAGCAGCAGCAGCAGCCGCCGCAGCAGCAGCAGCAGCAGCCGCCGCAGCAGGAGTAGCAGCAGCAGTCTTTGAAGCAGGAGCAGCAGCAGCAGCCGCCGCAGCAGGAGCAACAGCAGCCGCCACCTCCGCCTCCTGTCTCTGGCCTTCGGGCCCTCGGTCTCCTCTCTCCCTCTCCTCCCTCCTCCCCCTCTCCTCCTGTCTACGGTCCCATGTTTCCTCCTCCTGACTACACCCCAGCTGTTTTCCCCTATTCTCAGCCTCCGTTGTCCCCTCCTCTTTCTCACTCTTGGGCTTCTCGTCGCTCTCCTCGTGCTCGTCCGTCGTCCCCTGTACCCTTCACTGACCTTCGTACTGCCCTGTTTCGTTTTAGTCCGCCTCGTTCGTCTCCGTCTGCGCTTCCTTCTCCTCCTGAGTCGGCCTTCACTGCTTCCCTCTCGACTCCAATCACTGACTACTACCGCACGTACCGACCTGTTCTCTCTCGTGTTCTCGCCTCTCTTGTTACGGACCCTCGTGCCTCTCTGTCCTCTGTCTCCGCCCTTACTGTCGCCGTCATTGAGTTCGCCACTACTCGCCGCCTTGACTACGCCACTTGCCTCGTGGCTGCTCCTCCTACCAGTCCTCTGGCCGTCGGGGGTGAGTCTGCCCTTGGCTGTGACGCCCTAGAGGACAGGCAGTTTGAGCTGGAGTTCCTGGCAGCCGCTTCCCCTCATCTCTGTGCCATGCTGCTCGCCCCTGAGGGAGACCCCGACGCCCTTGACATACATACTCCTCGCACTTACGCTGAGGCAGTGTCAGGGCCTTGGGCCTCTCAGTGGAGAGCTGCCATGGACTCAAAGATGGCCTCCTACAGAACCACAGGCACCTACGTCGACGAGGTTCCCCCCCCTGGGGCGAACGTAGTCGATGGCATGTGGATCTTCAGGGTGAAGCAGCCACCGGGATCCCCTCCGGTCTTCAAGGCGCGCTATGTGGCTAGAGGTTTCAGTCAGCGCGAGGGAGTTGACTTCTTGCAGACCTTCGCGCCTACCCCGAAGATGACCACTCTTCGGGTGTTACTGCACGTAGCAGCACAGAGAGACTACGAGCTACACTCTCTTGACTTCTCGACAACCTTCCTTCAGGGTAGCCTACACGAGGAGGTCTTGTTGCGGCGTCCCTCTGCCTTCACTGGCATTTTCCCTCCTGGGACCCAGTGGAGGCTGAGCCGACCGGTCTACGGTCTCCGTCAGGCTCCTCGTGAGTGGCACGACACCCTTCGTTCTACCCTGTCTGACCTCGGTTTCCAGCCGTCTTCTGCTGACCC